GCAAGCGTCTTTGAAGCCTAAGGTCCCTGACCCCACAGACAATCTGATCCAAGAGCATGTCTTCTAGGTAGTCTCTGAACTCACACTGTAAGGCAGCTGATCTCAGGGCTGCCATGTACTCACTAATTGACTCCCCCTCAGCCTGCCTTCTGGTTCTGAAGGCATGCCTCCTAGCTATCTGGGAGGGTTTAGGTGAGTAGTGATTGGAAAGAATCTCTTGGAGCTCTTCCCAAGGGATGTTTCTTACAGAGTGAGGGGCAACTAGTGCTGTAGCGGTGTCAAAAACCGCAGCCCCACAGTAACTGAGGAAGAAAGATTTTTTCCTGTGCTCAGCAGCGTCTGTTAGGTCAATAGCATCCAGGAAGTAGATAAACCGGTTTTTGTATGACTCCCACGTTTCTTCGGCTGGCTTGAAGGGTGGGAATGTCGGGTTGGTGTTCATCTTGAGGCGGCAGTGCCTGTCACCTCAGCTGCTGCGGCTTCGAAAATCGCGCTCTTAGAAGAGCGTTTTGCAGCTGCGCCTGTCAGGCGGCATCTGTCTCCTCGGCTGAGGAGGCTTTAAATTTTGCGCTCTTGGTGAGCGTCGGCGGCTGTGGCTTCAGCGCTCGGTGGCTTCGCTCTTTTTTCAGTGACCAGCTCTGCGATCGGACATCTGGTAGCCTCTTATTGTATTCCGCCCTCGTCGCCAGTGTTGTGGAGCGGCGGAGATACGAGGCTGAGCCAGAGCGTTCGTTTAAAAGAGGCTTTATTCAGGTGAATAAAGGGTTGCCGCGTCTGCCAGGCTAACTCGGCAGATCAGCTGGCGGCAACAGCTGATGCCGTTTGACAGCTCCTTTTATAGCCGGCTGTCAAACGGCATCAGCCAATGGGAGCGGTCGGCGCTCCCGCTCGAACTGCGGACCTGGTTGGGAACTCCAGCCAGTTCTATAGACACAACAGGGCCATTATCAGTTTTCAACTGAGAAGGCCGACCCATTACAGCAAAATAGGATAGGCAATGAGAAATAACATCTGAAGTACATTCATGTTTTAAAACAGTAACCCAAAAGAAATGTGAATGAGTGTCAATAGATGTGTGAAGATAACAGTATGGCTTAAAGGTTGAAAATTGTGTTACATCCATTTGCCAAATTTGATTAGCTTGGATTCCTCGTGGGTTGACACCCACTGGAAAGGGAACTGCCAATTGCTGACAAGCTGGACAAGCACGGACAATATCCCGGGCTTGAGATAGTGAAATTTTAAATTGCTTTGCAAGTGACTTGGCATTTTGATGAAAATAAGAACGGCTATCAACAGGGTCAAGGAATAAACATGCAACATCCTTTAAGGATTCATCTGCCTTCCGATTTCCTTCAGTCAAGGCATTAGTAAAGGGAGTATGACTCCGAATGTGTTCTACATACAAGGAATACAAACGAGTTTCCAAACTATTCTTTAAAGATAAAAACAAGGATAACAAATTCTTATCCAAAGAGAGAGAACAATAAGAAAAGGGAAGAGATTGCATAGCTAAATACACATACTAAGTATCAACAATCAAGTTAATAGGTTGGTCACTGAACAATTGTAAAGCTAAAATCACAGCAGCCAGCTCAGCAAGTTGAGCTGAAGTCTGAGTGGCAGTAAATTTAGAATACCATTGTTGTTGAATCTGCCAGACGACCACACCTGTTGTTGGTGAGTCATCAGTAAAAACTGTAAGAGCTTTAGAAATAGGATTTCGCACAAAAATGGAAGAAAAGGCTGGATTTAAAGTAGTAGTAACCACTATTCTAGGATCCTTGGGTAAAGAATATAATAAGTTTTCCACATATTGAGAAAAGGCTATCTGATATGATTCTGAAATCATCATCAAATGCTCATGTTCAACTTTTGTATGAGTGAAAGCTATGCTAATGAGATCCTGTCCTGTAAGATGTAAGGCTCGTTTACGACCTTTGATAATCAAATTCTCTAATGCTGACTTGATAAAGATAAATGTTTCTAGGCGGAGTCGCAGACAAATTAATCCATTCATGAATGTTGACTGCTTGTGAAGAGGCATTAGAATAAAGACATCCTGTGGGTAAGGGTGCAGTAGGAAGAATAGCTAAACAAAGTCCTATTGTTAAGGATGTTATCCTGTCCATATATCGATGCTTAAACTTATCCAATATTTCTTGAAGGCATGTTCTTTGAATGCTTTCAGTTAATACAATTAGATCTCCTGGTGATTGTGCTCCCTTCAAAGACTGAAATAAAGGCAACATATCACCAGTTGTAATGTAAAAGAATGGGCGTGCCCAATTAATAATGCCAAGTAATTTTTGCCATTGTACTAAGGTATACGATTTCTGTACTTGTAATTCAGGAAGAATTGGAATGGAGCAATTATGCAACATTCTATGTCCTAAGTAAGTATAAGGTTCTACCTTTTGAATTTTGTCTGAGGCTATGTACAATCCTTGTTGTGCTACAATATCCATTAACTCTTTTAACAACAGATTCATCAAAATCTGGGACTGCTATCAATATATCATCCATATAATGATAGACTAAATAGGAAGGAAATTTATTCCTAAAGGGTTGAAGAGCATTATCCACACAATATTGACAAAGTGTAGGGGAATTAAGCATTCCCTGAGGCAACACGCACCAATGATATCGTTTTGTGGGCATGCTATTATTAAAAACTTCTGTTAAATCATGAAGGAAATGCCATTTCCCATTTTTCTTTTTTATAACAAAAACAGGAGTATTCCAAAGACTAGTAAAAAGTTCTATATGACAGCAGCCAATTGTTCTTGAACCAATTGTTGTAAAGCAGCAAGTTTTTCCCTTGATAATGGTCATGGTTCCACCCAAACCAGTGTATAACAGAGCCATTTAAGAAGAAGAGCCCTCATCAAGAATCAAATGAGCATTAAGAAGAGAAAGGATATCATGGCTCCAAATATTAGTATGAATATCTAGAATGTATGGTTGTGGGGAAAAAAATTTTTACCATCAGATGTTGTAACATTAATTTCTTGAACATTCTGCCAAGCAGCTGTAGAACCTCCTATTCCCCACAATGAAGAAACTGTTGTTTTTGGCCACTGTACTGGCCACTGTAAAGAGGAGATGACAGTAACATCAACTCCAGTATCCAATAACCCTTGAAATGGTTGTTTATTTAGTAAGAGAGAGGAGTTCAGCTGATGAAATAAGCCTACAGATAAAAAAAATTGGTCCAAATCCTGCATCCACAGAATTACCTATACCAGGATATGGAATTTCATATAGAAGAAGAAACAATTGAACAACAGAAGAATTACAAGGAACAACTTGAGGAAGATTCACCCAAATCTGAATCATGAGGATACCATTATAATCTGAACAGCCCTTTTTGTGTGCAGAAGAACGAGGCAAACTTAAGCCAACTAATCCTGAAGGAAGAAAACCTTTAAATTGAGATGGAACTATTTTAACTTCCAAAGGAAATTTAAACTCAATGACTTCTTGAGTGATTAAATCAATCCCAACACTACCAGCTGTGGCTGTGGGGGAGTGAGATAGACTGCTGGAGGAGTCAGGTAATATTTGCTTCCCATCTTCAGGAATCTTTGTATAACCATTTTTTTATTCCTTTTACAAGTCCTCTTGTAAAATTTCCACTAATCCCATAGTCTGTACCTACCTTTTTTTAACTCTCCTAAGATCTGATAAGGTAGCCTCCCCCCCCCCCCCCCCCCCCCCCATTCTGCTACTTGCAGTCCAAGTGTGGCTCCTGACCAGGACGATATTGTACTGGACAAACAGACACTAATTCTGCAAGTTCTATTCCTGAGACAGAGGCATCTTTTTTACAATCCTCAACCATTTTCTGAAAAGAAGATTGAACAATAGAGTCAGGAGGCTTTTGCCCTGTATCTGCAGAAGCTGAGGGAATGGAAGACATATATTCAGGTGAAGGAGGAGGATAAATGACAACATTAGTATAAAGTGAAGGTGGAGGTGTTAAAAGAGAAAGTTCATTGTGACCAAATTTTTCAATTGCATATCTACATAAATGCCACACCTGCAAAACTTCTATTTCTGCTCTAGGTTCAGTATGCAATGTTTTCCCTATACGTTCCCAATCAGTTAATTTTAAAGACCCCTCTTTTGGATACCATAAGCACTGAGCTGCAATCTCCTGGACCAGCCTTAAGAGATTTTTCTCTGGTACCTGAGTATTATTTTTCTTCAACAAATAGCCTAATTCATCTACATGCTTCCTTTGTTCCTCTGAAAGCGAAGACCCCATACTTACAGAAACCAATAATGGTTGAAAAACCCCAAAGGATTGAAGGTGCACCAAATCCTTGCCGGACGAAGTAAGAGGGTCCCTGTTCAGGTGCCACTTGTTGTAATGACGAGGCAGTTGAGGTGTTTGATCATGATCACATGAATCATGATGACTTTATTGGAGTCTAGTCTTGTATTTATACACATTTTTAGTAATCCTCTAACATTGGTTAACTTTGGTTGTTGCTCAACCTTTGTTAGTCTAGCAAAGTAATTAACAATTAACTATCTCTAGTTAAAGTCTAACACGTTTACTTCCTCTCTCTAATCCTTCTTTGCGTTTAGTGATTTTGTTTGCCTGAGTTCTATTTGCTTTTGTCCTTATCTGAGGTTTGCCATCAAGATAATGACCTTCCTGCAATTACAACTCTACAGTTTCCAATGGATCCTCTAGTATAAATACCAGATCATCTGCAAAAGCTTGCAATTTATACTCTTCCTTTAATTTTCATTCCTTTTATTTCTTTATCTTCTCTAATATTCCTGTTCAACACTTCCAAAGTTAACACAAACAGCAGAGGCGACAGTGGACAACCTTGTCTTGCCCCTTTTCTTATATCTATGGATTCTGTTAATTCTCCATTTACCATAATCTTTGCAGTTTGTTCATAATATATCGTTGCAATGGCTTGAGTAAATTTTTTACCAAAGCCCATTTGTTCCAATTGCAATAACATAAATCACCAACTCACGTTGGGAGAAAGTTAAAGAGACATGCTGTTGTAACTTTGAATAGTCACTAAATGAACTGTTTAAAGTCAACTGTTCCAGTTCTCTTTCAGGATCTTTGAGAGCATTGGTTTTTTGCACACGTAGTAGTGTTCAGTGCTGCATCTCACTGACATGGCTGTGACTTCGTCGTCCAAAAATGCACAATCTCCTCCATTTCCCTTGACTTCCATCCTGCAATAGAAGCAGAAATTAGGCAGTGGAGATAATGTCCCACATAGCTGTTACCAAAGGAGTCTTGAGTTTGCAATTCATCTAGCTGAGCCTTCCCTTGCCTTGCCTGGTACCCTCTAGAACAGGGGTCTCTAACCTTGGCAACTTTCAGATTTGTGGACTTCAACTCCCAGAATTCCTCAGCCAGAAGCTGGCTGAGGAATTCTGGGAGTTGAAGTCCACAAGTCTTAAAGTTGCCAAGGTTGGAGACTCCTGATCTAGAAATGCTGGACTGGACCACAGCCACCATATTTCCTATCCTTGGACACAATGACCGAGAACAATAGAAGTTGCAGTGCAACCTAATCAGAAGGCACTATTCTGGGAAACTCCAAGGTAATTTACTATCTGCTGTAAGTAGTAGTAGCTCTTCAGGAGGTTGTCTATCTGACAAATTGACTTGTGGACATTAGGACAAGACCTGGGTACAATGTGCCGTTCCTTACGGCTTCCTTCACAGTTTTACTTCCTGTGTAAATTAAATTCAATCTCTATAGAGATTCTCAGTCATTCAGATCATGGTTGCCTCAACGATGCTTTTTCAAAGGCAACTGGACTTCCCTTCATTTCTTCCTTGAAAATGTTTCACTTCTCATCCAAGATGCTTCCTCAGTTCTGACTTTATTTATTAAACAAATTTATATCACTGCCCAACTCACACATAGGCAATTCTGAGTGGCCTACAACATGCTTTTGTTAACTCTTACTTCACGTAACAAATATACCAATCTGGTGCCATCTCTGTCTAACCCCAATGTGCTGAAAATATACCAAATTCCCACAGAATCAATGTAACATTATGGGAGTTACCCATAATTGCCTTGGTTTAACTCTGAGTGGGCAGAACAATCTGTGACTATTTTACCTTGGCTCTGTCTTGTATTTTTCCACAAGAAGAAATCTTGCTAAAAAGCACGTATTCAGCTCAGAACATTATAGCAGGAAAGCACTGACAGGAAGGGAGTTAATAAAAGATTAACCGCAGACAAAGAAAGTGTATTCAAAGAAGATATGCTTATCTATAGCAGTTACAAAGTAGCAATTACAGAGTTCGTTGCTCATGTCACGTAGTCTGGTCTAAAAGATTAACATTGTATCTCTTTACCTTCCTGTAAAATTCCTCTCTCACCTCCTCCCTTGAATTAGCACAATAAAAGGGGACAGCTAAAAAGCCTGAGAGAGGAAGGAGCGAAGAAGCCGAGGAGCCAGGACATTTCCATCTGTTCCAGGCGCAGCCGGGGAATCCGATCTCCCCCAGGCTCAAAGTGTTGCCTCATTTTAAGATCTCTTGTGTTTTGTGTGTTTTATTTCTTGCGCTTGCTTGGCAATCACTCTTGCGAGAGTCTTGCCTAGCCTCACCCTTGCGAGGGTCCCGCGCTGTCTCGCCCTTGCGAGGGCTATTTTCTCACCCTTGCGAGGGTTACTTTAAACTTCGTCCTTGCGAGGACTAATTCACCCTTGCGAGGGTCACGCTATCTCGCCCTTGCGAGGGCTACTTTAAATCTCACCCTTGCGAGGGTTATTCTCTGAGAGGAATTCAGCAATCAACCAGTAAGCCGAAACAACAGACCGGTCGCTCAA